TCAAAGGCTCCTGTTGGAAGGCAGGATATTTGCTGTCCTGCGCCTCTTCCACGCTCCACCCTGTGAGATATAGGATGAAGACAAAATAGCTTACCGGGGCTAACAGCTTGAACTCCTCCCCAGAGTCAGACAGCCAGGTGTTGACTTTTGGTTTCCTCACCTGTACATTTAACCATCCCATCCCAGAGTTGTTGGGAGATTTGATGCTAATTCTAAGCGCAGGACCTGGTGCTCAGTGAGTACTCCCCAGACATGTCAGCCAGCCCACGGCAGGTCCTCCCACTCCTGGTTCACAAAGGGAGGGTTGTCTGAGAAAAGCTGGTCTGTCCAAGGAATTCCTTTCCTGGATAAGTGGAAAGGGATCTATTACTAGGCAACTCAACACCTCTTAGGCCTTGGGAGGGAGCTGACATAACAGTGGACATCTGCACAGTAATTTATGGCCTACAGAAACCTTCAGGGCTGCAGAGGGAGAAGGGGCTTTGCTGTCAGATCGTTGTTCACAGGCTCTGCCTCTTAGAAGGTCTATAACCTTGGGCTACTCAGAAGCACTCTGATCCCTTCGGCAGCAAGAATACTGCAAACTTCCCTGCAGGTTTCAGAGGCCCACGTGCTAACACATATGTGTGTATGTTACAGCAGTGTTTCTCACAGTGCACTTGAACCTATAGCTAAACTTCCACGGCACACTTAAATTATGTTGATCAAAAGAGAGTAAAAAGAGTATACTTACTGTGCTTTGAACTTCTTTTGCACATAATTTAATTAATGATCTTTAACATTTTTTGCAGCACACCTAAGATGCTTTCACGGCACACCAGTTGAAAATCCCTGCCCTACAGTCAACTATGAGGAAGTGTCATTCCATTTTCTCATGGCTCCAGTTGCCAGCAGACCTCTGGAGCAGAGCCTCACACATGCTCCAGGCTAGGGGTTGGAGGGAGGAACTTTGTTCAGAACAGTCTGGCCAAAGCTGCTGTCTACTCCCCTCTCTCCTTCCCCACTCCCTTCCCTCCTTCCCCACTCCTTCACACACACAGGCCTTGAATACCTCCTTCCCGGGCAAGCATCTGAAAGAAAGGCAGTGACTCTTTCCCCCTAGGAACATTTTCCCCTTTTAGACTCTTCCTACAGCAAAAGGCAGGCAGGGGCTGGCCTGCTGTGATGAAAATGCCCTGGAGTTGAGAGTCCTGGGATCTAGTCATGCTCCGAGCAGGGAGGCTGGACTGCTCTGAGCTGGGGAACGGATGGTTTGAAACCAAGCCTCCCCACCTGGTCTGCCTTCCCTGGGTTTTGGCAGCGCTGACAGAACTCTGCCACGGGGAAGCCAGAGGCTGAAAGGTGTGTGATCCCCCTGCCAGGGCAGCACATTCTTCTAGATGGCACTTACCACCAGGAGGGACACCGCCCTCTGGCACAGGAGAAAGCACAAGCCAGAGACCAGAAACCAGCACTGCCCCAGCTCCACTGCTCCTGTCACCTGGGGCAGGAAGGGTAGGTCACCCACCACAGCGCTATCTGGCTTCTTACGGCACCCCACCTCCCTGTGTGGGCACCACCTGTAACTCACTGCCAACTAACTCACCAAGAGGTGCACAAGGAGCTGGAGAGAATGAAGTCCCACAAGGTAGCAGAGTGGCACCATCACAGGCGGCTTTGGCCTTCGCTTCTCAGAGTTATGTGGTAAATACTCTCAGGTCCTATTAATGCTCTCAGCATCCTCCAGTACATATTAACCCCAAATTACAGCCAAGAATGTTACTGTCCCACCTCAGGGACAAGTTGGACAGTGAAGCAGAAAAAAATCCCCACAGGATTAGAGGCATACTGGAATCCCAGAGATGGTGGGTGACAAGGGCCTCACTCCAATGCCTAGGAATTAACACTCAGAGGCAGCAAGTACGGTGTAGGTCTGCTGGGAGCATGGGTGGGCATGGAGCTAGGAGGAATACAGAACGGGAAGATTCAGCCCCAAGTCCTGACTTTGATTTAAGAGGTCAAGAGCGCATGATCAATAGTGTCCAGGAATGATTTCTCATTCCAGGGAACTGCACACTACCACTTCCCACATATTTATTCTAAGTGTAAATATTGGTCCGGACAATGCCTCGGACTAAAATGTTTTCTGGCACCAGAATGGGGCATTACAACACATCCAGGTAAATATCCAGGATTCAGCCTCCTCATTGCTAGTGGGCCAAGGACAGGTACTCCATGGACAAAAACACTGAGTCCAGCATCTGACAAACCTGATCTCTGCTCATTGCGTGGGATGCAGCCAGAGGAGAATGAGACACAGGTGCTCACAGGGTGGGCGCAGACCTGATGCAACCCAGCCAGCCACTCACAGAGTGGGGGCGGGGGCAGGGAGGGGTTGGCACCAAGAGAAGGTGGGAGGGTGACCTTCAGTTCTAGAAACCTGCAGTGGGGTGAGGTGTGTGGAAGGAGGGGTGTGCCTTGGAACTGGAAGGAGGACAGCTTGGGGGAGCAGAACCAAGGATGGAAGTAGGGCTGGCCGGCTGTAGAGGCCTCCCAACCGCACCTTCAGGCCTGGCACCTGCTTTTGCACAGGAGGGCCTCGTGAGCAGGTTTCAATGTCTGGGAGAGGCACAGACACATATGTTTTAGAAACAGCCCTTTGGGGAGAGTCAAGGAAAAGATGAGAGAATAAGACTCATGAAATTACCCAAGCAAGGGCTGAAAGCAACCAAGAGGAGAAAGCAAGGAGCCTTTCAGAAGGTGTAATGCACAGTACAGATAAGGAGAGGACCTCGGGGATAGCCCATGGCACATATAG